ACCTTAAGAAACCTACAGGAGGTGCATAATTTCATTAAAAGGATTCCAAAATCAAAGTTACCCATGTTTCATATTATGGGAAACGATTAAGTCAGTGACAGGTGAAAGTAACAATAAAACATTTAATAACAATTCACAAATCTCAGTAAATGGACTTCTTGTTTCTGATCATGAAAAAATTGCTAACTTATTTAATGAATATTTTATTTCTTCAGTAAGGGCATCATTACTGGGACAAGCTAATAGTTTAAATTTTGTTTTCATATTCTGATTGTGATATTTTATATATTGTACATGAAAGGAAGCTGTAAAAGCATGTATGTTAAAAGTTTAATTGTTCCATATATATTTTTAATCTGGGTTTAATATCTCAATCATCCTATTGAACTTGACCAAGTAGGGTCATAAAGAAGAGACAAATACAAATAAAAAAGTTTTTTTTCCTTCTTCTTTGGATTTGCTTAATGGAAACTGCACTATGATTTGTTTGGTGTGAAACAGAAGCTACTTTGTCCCTCTGAAGCTGACAGAGCTGGAATCTACTAACCTTTGGCCAGACAGATACTTGAGGTTGGTGAACATTGGCACGACAAAGATAAAAGGGGCAAAAATTACTGTAATGTTTGTGGGCAATATGACAAGCTAAAACTGTGTTTTAATGAAAGTTGAAAATTAAAGGCAAAGAAGAAACTGATCTGTAATATTAGAGCTATGGAAAACTTAACAACTATGTGATTACAGACAAATATTTAGAGATAAACTAATGGATTTTGTTCCACTCAGAAACGAAACACATATATGTATGTACTTTTAAAACAAAAAAAAATTATTGTCAAAATTACTCGGCTGCTAAACATAGAGTAAGATTATTTAGATATCTATGGAACAAGAGGGGCTCATGCATACTATAGCCTGTGTGTCACATTGATTTGCAAGCACAAGATCTCAGTACGAACAGAAGGGTGAGGCAAGGTGACAGCAAAGCACTACCTCTTGGACTTTGGGATCGTTACTGTCTGGCTTGCTATATAAGCTGCAGAATCTCACCAGTTGAGCACAAGCACAACCAAGTGGATTTACAGACACACTTGCAAACTCAGGTAAGAAGAATAAATGATAGCTATTTTCTTGTCTACTCACTGGTAAAAAAAAAAAAAAAAGAGCTTTGTTGACTAACTGGTACTTGCTTGTTTTAGGGTCCAAGAGCCATGAAGGTCCTCGCTGTGCTCGTCCTGGCCGTTTTTACCGGTAAGCTTGTTGGGTGAAACACTTCGTTAAGCTCCAAGTCTCCATTTTCATGCATTTCTGGAATATTTTGAAGATTCCTGAGCTGTTTTTTTTTGTCTGCCSAACAGGCTGCAATGCCAATATCTTCTATGCTGATGCACCAAAGCCCCAGATAGAAGTCATGAAAGATGCTTTCTGGGAGTATGTTGGCAAAGCCACGCAGACAGCTGATGACACCCTGCAGATGATCAAAAAATCTCAGATTGGCCAGGATATCAGGTAAGAGCACAGATGAAAAACAGATAAATAATACTTGATGTTATTCAATAGAAAAAACACAGGCTAACTCTAAAAATCACTGTTCTGCTTTTGTCTTGTTTTTTTTTTTTTATCTCTTTGCTCATCTAGTAACCGTCTGACAGAAAGTGCTGACTTAGCTAAAACGTATGCAGTCACCCTGCAGGATGAGTTTCCTGTTGGAACCCAGGACCTGATCAACAGATTCACCACAGAGGCTGAAGTTCTGAAAGAGCGTGTGACCCAGGAGCTGAACACAGCCCGGGAGAAGCTGGAGCCCTACACCGAGAACGTGAAGGCACAGATCCAGCAGAGAGTGGACCAGCTCAAACAGGAGCTGGCCCCGTATTCCGAGTCTCTGGATTCCGAAGCCCTGAGGACCACTCTGATTCAGAAGAGCGAGGAGCTGAAGGCCAGCATAGACCAGACTGTCACAGACCTGCAATATATGCTGGAGCCTCACACCAACAAACTGAGGAGCAAGTTGGAGCCCCATCTGGAGGAATTCAAACAGAGAGCAATCCCCATGACCGAGCGAGTCCAGACCGAGCTCACACAAACAGCCCAGCAGGTGAGAGACATGGCTGCCCCCTACGTTGAAGAGCTGAGGGAGAAGCTGGACCCCTACGCCCAGGACCTCCGGGATCGCCTCACCTCTCTTTATGAATCCTATATCAAAGCCAACTAAGTCAAAGTCCACGAGCCACTGCGCAAAATATCTGCATCAAATAAAACTGAGTKCCCTTATCCCTGATCCCAGTAACATGTCCATTTCAGAAACAATAATTCACCTTTTTTGAAGGTTGTKGGTATTGTTAAATATGCAAACACTGTCAACAAAAAGTTGAGACATGAAAAGTTAAAGTTGGTCTGTGACCACACACTGTATCTTTTTTTCCTATGTTATGGAAAATAAAGTAAAAGCAAAACAAACTGTGGGCTTTGGGTGCTTTTTGTGGTAAAAATGTGCAAGTTTTTTCAAAAGATTTTTTTCTCTAAGAATGACTGGGTTATTGTACATATAACAAAATAGACAAAAATGTCCAAATTAATCCTGGTTTAGTAATCCACTAACTGTTGCAGCTGTAAAATAAAAAGTCARCTGTTGACTTTTCAGCATTTATAAACAAGGAGATATTTGAATATTCTGTGAAACAATGTAAAACAAAGACAAAACGGTGAGACATTAAGTAAAACATAACTAAAGGCAAAATGCAATGATCTGCAAACCTCATACCAAAATTTTATCCTCAGTGGAACATTACAAACCCAATGAAACAAAAGAATTGGACCATTTTGGGAGAAAAAAAAATCTATTTTTTTAATTGTGATTGCAAGTTTGATTTGAAAAAACAAACGTTTTACAGATTTTTTTTTGTAACCAAGGTTGCCATCAAGTTTTAAAGATTAGTTGCCAACAATTAGACTCCTCTAAAAATAAAGTAAATAAAACAGGTGGATCTTTCTTTTTTAAACGATAGACTTTTACATGTAAGTGAGTCACAGTCAGGGGTGTAGCACCAAATTCTGGGCCCTGTACACTCTCGATGTCAGTGGGCCTCTATCCATGCCAGTGCATTAGGTGCTTGAGCAAAAAAAGAAAAAAAAGGGGGGCATTCTTTTAAATAAAGAAGCATAACTAGGGTTTTAAGCTACAATCAGATCAGATTAAATTGATGAGTGGTTCTTTCATTCACCAGCTGAGTTGATACATTTTACCTACCTGTGTTCAAMTACCTAAAACATTTTGCTACATCTGTTTTGTGTACTAATGTTGTGATCTATGACACTCGAGCACATTTTGATTTAAAAACATTTATTCTTGAACTTTAGACAAACATTTGGTACATGACGTGTACTCACTTTAACTGTCTGCACACGTCATAAACTGAACACCAAATGCTTCTTTTGTGATGCAATAATAGTCAAACCATATTAACTGAGATTATGTTCACCTTTATTAAAGCATGTAATGTATCAGCTCTTTAAACTCACTAAGAATACAGTTTGACAATCAGCCATAGAAACACACAGGYGAAGAACTACAGATGTGTTTATGTTCTCTAACGGGGCGTCAGAAGGTTTGTAATGTATGTAAAGGACACACTGGAGGGGGGTCTGGGGGTCCTCCCCCAGAAAAATTTGAATAAAGTAGAAGCTATTTCCTGATTTCTAATGTATTCTAACAGGTTAAAGATATTTTTACTTACACAAATAAAGACTTAATTAGAGACAACTATAGACAGTTTCTTCATTAAACTAGATGCATCGTCCTGTTTTTAAACTCACTTATTGCTCAGAAAATTAAATTGATGTGATATATTATCCCWAACAGGCTTAGAGGAGATTTTTTACATTCATTTTGTTTATTATTCATTTAATTTTATTTATTACACAACATATTGTGCCAAACAATGATGACACACAACTGCATGTTTCAAACTAAAATCATTATTAGCTTTGCCCAGTGAACAGGTGTAATTATGATAACCASCAACAGTGAATTTAGGGGGGCGTTTGACTTTTTGCTGATTTGATGACAGGCCCACTCATAAACTGACATGACCATCATGCAGCTTTCTTCACAACATAAAATAACACTGTGCCAAACAATGGTCACGTAAAAATAACTTGTGTCAGTTTCACCAACCCTTCTTGGGTCCTGGGTACTCAGGTCCACTTTCCCCCATGTCCATGGTCACAGTGGTTAGAGCTGTTGCCTCACAGCAAGAGAGTCACAAGTTCATCTCCCATCCAGGGTCTTTCTGTGTGGAGTTTGCATGTTCCCTGCACACTGTGTCCTCCCCCAGAACTAAAATCTTGTGCATTAGTAACTCTTAAATGTGCCTTGGTGTGAGTGAGATTTATGAATGATGGTTTGTCTTGTTTGKCTCTATGTGGTCCTTTGATGGACTTTCAACCTGTCCAGGATGAACCCTGCCTCTGGCACAGTGGAAGAAAGGCACCAGCTCCCTTGCAACACACACAAAAAAATAAAAGTGGATGTAAAAGATGGATGGATGGATGGATGGATGGATGGATGGATGGAAGTCCTGCATGCTTATAAATATATCCACACAATTCAAAATTTCCAAAAAGTATATAAAATAAACAATTTAAATATTGCTGTACTTTTCAAAATGAAAAGAGTCTTCTGTTTCAAGCGCTATATATAAATTGCAAACATCTTGGCTGTTTGCTCAAGACTGACCATCCCAGCAAATTCAACAAATGGGATTGTTCTTTTAAAAAATTAAAATTTCTCATAGTTTAACCACAAAATCTAAAAGGGATTTTTATAGTTTAAAGTAAAATGATCAACAAGCTCACCTACTGTGCATTTAGCATGGGAAAACAAGCTGTTAGTGATGTGAGCAAGCTGTCAGTTTTACTAAAATGTCATTTMATTTCATTTYATATTTCACATTTACAAACACATTMAAATTAAGTTGTGTGAAACATTACTACAATGTGACTGATCTCCAAATTAACAATTATTGGAGCGATYATTAAAGCATTGTGTTTAATGCTTAAATTATTCATAAAAGACCTTGTTATTTATAAGCAAATCAGAGAAATAAGGTGAGTTTTAAGAACGCCCAATCACGCCACAGAAAGTGGCGTGATTGTGGGTGACACCACTTTTCCTGTTRGTTTAGCATCATCTTACAAAAGCCCCCCCCCCTTAACTCCCTCCTATAAGACTAAGTTGTGGATATGGGGACAAGGCATGTCCTGGTTTGTTCTTACAAGCCTGAAAGTTGATAAACATATCCTGCTTACCTTTGTTTTTTTATTCAGTTTTTTTTGCGCCTCTGAACCAGTAGAGAGATTACGCCCACCCTGCCTTACCCAGTGGCAAACAACATTCCTCTGTCCTGCCCCCAGCTGTTCCAGGAGCTGCTGTTAACTCTCCACACACACAACCTCACATGCACACACCACAGATCTGATTCCAATTAGCTATTTTCATTTTGTTTTTATAAGTTTAATCGCATAAGATTATCATTCATTGCGTTATCATTAAAGACTATTTTTGTTTGTCAAACATTTACTCATTTGTCTTGTTCTTGTAAAAGTCAATTACAATAAAATGATGACCGTGACCAACTAATTACATAATTCTGTAAACAACAAATGTGTCAATCAATACACCAATCGAAGCGGTTTGATGTCTCTGTCTCAAATAAACCAGAACATTCCCACTCTTTATCCCATCAGATTACATAGAAAGGGCCTGTAAGAAAAACAAAGAGTTAGCTCTCCCACTTCTTTGAGCTTTTAAATCTGATGCTGCTCTCATATCCATACAATAAACATGGAACTGCAGCTTACATGTTATAACATGTAGTTTATAAGCTGAAARCAACTAGGCTTGGTTCTGTCAAAAGTTTAATGCATCTAAATACACTAGTTTAAACATCATGTTTAACATGCTTGACTCTTTGTTGCCTTTGATGTGGAAATGATAACTTCTGCAGAAGTTTGCTGTGTTTATTGTTGTTACACAGTCAGCAGTTCTCCTACAGTTTGAATCTTTCAGTTGACACCATGCTGACTCAGAACCAGATGATAATTTGTAAGAAGTTACTTTAGGACATTTGTGACTAAAATGAACAATCCAACAAAGATCCAGAAAAAAAAAAAAAGAAAAGAAACAAGAAAACAAAGTTAGACAGAGAAAAACAAAACAAAAGCATGTAGCTCCTCTGTTTGAAATCAAAATATAGACGTTTCAAATCATTAGAAAATGGGATGTTGACAACTTTTGTCTTTTTAAACTGTGTTAACCTTCTGCCCAGTTGTTGTCCATTCAAGAAGTGACATCATCTTAAGCAAAAACACACTTCCTGGGGTTACTTTTGTTCAGTCCAGCTTCTCCCTCAGACAGCTCCCTGACATCAGACATCCTCTGTTGTGGAGGAGCAAAAGGAGAAGCAACTCCAGTTTGCGTGACTGAGTCAGATTTTTCACTGTATTACCTCATAATTCTCTTGTTTGTCTTTCACTTCCCTGTCTGCCTTCTGTCTGTTTATCCGCAGGGCCCAGAAGGGAAAGGTACCACACTTAAACTGTTTTTGGCTTGTGACCTCCTTGTTACTTGAGTGCAAAAGTTGACTTGTTCTCTCAGCAAAATTCAGTCAAAAATAGTTTGTTTTCATTTCTGTTTTCCTCACTTGTAGATTTGTGTGAGGCAAAGGCCCCCACATAGCACTGAAAATGTTCCTGAGAGTTGGGAACATTATTTCTCAATGTTCATGATGTGTGGAAAACTGTTTATAAAGCTGGATATGTTGTTTCTTTCTACTTGTGACACATTTCCTAAAACCACTATTGAGCTGGAACATGATCAAATGGTTTTAGTTTTAACAGATAGGTGACAACAAAACACCTGAAACWAAAGCTTCATCACCAGCTTTGTCTCATTGTTTTCAGATTTTTTAAGGGGTGGGGTGGGGGGGGGTCCTCCATTAGAATACAGTCAGAAAATTCGACTTTCTCTACCGATCACACATTATCAGACGTATCAGGGTGAAGCCGATTCAGTTTAAGTTGCAGGTTGACAACAAAGAGGCCAGCTCATAAAGGGYAAAGGTCATTACACATGACCAACAATAGGGTTTCAATCTGCAGCCCGAAGAGATAAAATAACTGTATATTTGACTTTTTTCTTTTAAAACACTATATCATATTGAAAAATATATAATGCCCCATTGATTTTACCCAATAAAAAAGGTAAATTATAGAGGTGGGCAGTAACTAGTTACATTTACTCAACTGAATGTGCTTGAGTAACTTTTTTGAAAAAAAGTACTTTTAGGAGGGGTTTTACTAAACCATACTTTTTATTTTACTTAAGTAATACTTTAATGAAGTGTAAGTACTTTTACGTGAGTAAAATGTCTGAATACAATACACACAGTAAGCAATTTCACTGAATGAGGAACAAACACGTTTTAACCAGAAAAGACACACCTCCAGTTTATGTTGAAGGGAGACCTCTTGTTTCTACACAAACTTTGTCGTTCCAACGCTGTTTTCTGTCTGCTGAACCTGCTGAGACACTTGTAAACTTAAGGTAAACAGCAGATTAATTGACTTGAAGTACTTTACCCTGTTCTGTGCAGTCAAACAGCAACAATGTGTTAAAACCACAGCAACATAACGGGCCGGCCATGTCTTATTGGACCAGGCATGTCTACAGGGAGTGTAGTGAAAGTTAGCAACAGGATAAATAGCTGCTTTAATTCTTTCAAGCACAAAACTCTCCTTACTTTGTTCAAATGTCAAATTTTCTGTTACACCCTATTTATCAGATTTTGAACAAGCTTAAGTTTGAGTATTTTACGACCATGTGCCAATCCACCATTTTCTCTTTCTAATCCTTCTTTTGTAAAGTGGGCTTGCACACAAGCCTGAGCGTGCTCATCTAGTTGTGCAAGCATTGTATTTGTCTGCGCTGCGAATCACACTCCAAGTCCCTGTTAGAGATCTGAGACTGCCATAGAGATTGAGGGGTTGCATGTCATTCGGGGGTTCATGGCTGGGTTTTCAGTTGCAAATGAAAGCAGCATGTTCACATGAAAATGTGCATGGTGTGTTTAACTTGTAACATAAAGCAGAATTTTTTCCCCCATCACTTGGTAACACTATTTTAAAAAAGGCCAATTGTTGTCTTTTATGCCAGAGTTTTCATTCATGTATTAAGTAAGGACAAACTTGCAGCTAATTTGGTCTTTTATGAAGGAAAAAAAATGTTTTACATTACATTTTTAAGTTTAAATTTCTGATTTTATTTTGAACAAAGTGAATCTATACTCTAAAAATGAAATGTTGGATTTATTAACCATGTTATGTGACCTGGTTCCACTTAACTGAGTTGAGTAAATTCAAAGCAACATGCTCGTTCTTTGGCTAAAAAACTGGTATATTACTTTGAATTTACTCAACTCAGTTAAGTGGAACCAGGTAACATAACATGGTTAATAAATCCAACATTTCATTTTTTACAGTGAATGTTGATTGAAATAGATGAGAATGTCTTTCAAAATGATTGTATTTAGACGTCTGATTGCATCAAATTTTAAACTAATACAATTCTTTTCTATAATAAAATCAAGTTATCAAATAACAGAGAGACAGTTAATCACCAGCAGGAGTGAAACCTCCACCTCTCTGTGTTTCGGGTCAGCTTATCACCGGAGACCTGGCAGAACTTTGGATGCGTTTTTTTTTTCCTTCTTTTTTTATTACTTTCTCTTTTTTTGACCCATTGCGTGCAAGGACATGGCATCCTGTGCAGACAAATCACCGTGACCTCGTGCGCGCGCGCGCGAGTGAGCAATCGCTTCACCCTTCACCCGCCCTCCCCTCCCCTCCACTCCCCTCCACTCCCCTCCACTCCCCTCCACTCCCACCCCCCGCTGCTGCGCGTCAGGAGCCGCAGCCTCTCCCGGCTATAAAAAGCCCTCAGTCATCGTTCCGGGAGCATTGAAGAGTCTGGACCTCTCAGGTGAGCGGAACAACACAAACATGATCTCTTCTAACAGCAGCTGTTAGAAACTACAAGACTTTTAAAATGATTGTTTATATAGACATTTAACTCTTACCACTGTTATTTTAAATTCAGCTGTTTTTGTTTCTCCTTCCAGCATTTCACAGGTGAATCTGACGAGCAACCATGAAGGCTGTAGCTCTGATCCTCGCTCTGGCAGTCATCGCCGGTATGTGTTGTGTTGTGTTTTCACACAAGCACCATATTGTGCCCAGTTCTCATTTAATATTTGTCCACTTTTCTGCTGTAAGGCTGCAGTGCCCGTTCTGTGCGCCAGGCTGAGCCCACCCTGATCCGATTCGAGGACCATGTGGATCTCTTCTGGCAGCACATCTCTGATCTCAACCAGAAAGCTGATGATGCCTTGGGGAACCTCAAGGTCCCTCAGCTCAGCCAGGAGCTTGAGTAAGTGGTCATTTCACTTATTTAAAATACTTTATTTTTATTCTGCACTATTAAAACCTGAACATTTTGATATTGGATGTGATTCTTCCAGCACTCTGATCACCAACACCATGGCAGAGCTGACAAAATACAAAGCTGAGGTCCAGGCCAAGCTGGGCCCTCACGCCGTCAGCTCCACCAACCAGCTGTCTGAGGACCTGCAGCTTCTGACCAACAAGCTGCAGAAAGACATGACTGACGCCAAGGAGCGTAGCACCGAGTACCTGACTGAGCTCAAGTCCATGGTGGATCAGAATATGGATGATGTCCACAGCCGCATCAGCACCTACACCAACAAGCTGAAGCAGCGCCTGACCAAAGACACCGAAGAGATCAGAGAGTAAGTCGCGGTCTCACTCACCTTTTCATTCCTCATTTTTGTTGACTTGAAACCGTTTGATTTCATTTTCATTTTGTCCGTTTCTCCTCAAGTACCGCGGCCACGTACCTGAGCGAGCTGCAGTCCCGGGCCGCCCAGAACCTGGAGACCGTGAAGGGGAACGTCGAGCCCCACGTCCAGGAGGCCACCGATGTTGCCACCCAGAAGCTGAGAGACATCTCCACGAGGCTGGAGACGGGGGCCGAGAACTTCAAGACCCAGCTGGAGAGCAGCTTGAAGGAGCTGAGCACAACCATGGACGGCAAGCTGGAGGAGCTGACGAAGGTGCTCTCCCCGTACGCCACCCAGATCCGCGAGCAGTTCGAGACCATCCTGGAAAAGGTCAAAGAGWCCGCCTCTGCTTAAAGAAAGACTTAATTTTAAAGGATGAGAGAAGCTAAATAAATGAGTGAATTAGTTGTTTGTTTGTATCATGAAAAAGAAAGAGCGGGGTGTGAAACTGCTGCATATTTTAGGCTTTTGTGTTCAGGATAAAGAGGATTAAATGGGGGAGGGGGGGTATTTTTCTTTATTAACTCTTGATCACTGAACACAGGCACCTCAGCCGATCAGTTTGTATTACTCATGCTTTGCTTTTACCACTTCGAATTAAATAATCTACCATTTTATCCCCATACATTTTGCATTTGATGTTTTCTACATTTTGCTGCTGGGTTTGAATGCAACAAAACAAAACTGTCTTTCATTTCAATCAATGCACTGAGTAATGTTGCAACCACATACAAGCAAATGTCCACTAGTTTCATGCGTGAGACTGAACTACTTGAGTTTTGTCTGTTAGTCTTGTGTTGTAGCCTACTTCTTGAGAAAAAAGAAAATGAATAMAAACTGACTTGGTGAAAATATGAACAAAGTGCAACACTGTCTTGTTTGTTGTCCAAACTGAGCCGAATTTTTCACGTTATGCCCACCATGCTGCTCTGTGCATATACACCCCCTGTTTTTGTTTGTGCTGAGTGAATAAAAAGATAAATAGAAAAAAAAACAACACTTCTTTTCTCCAGATTGTTTCTTTCATCACATTCACGAGTGATCCGTTATTCAAAATGGGGTCTAGTTACGGTTTAACTTCACTGATTCACGTCACTGTTGTGCATCATGTAGATGATTCTGGTTGTTTAGTTTGTTTTTACTAAATGTACTCAAGACTATCAACTGACACACATATTTACACTTAGGTTTGATTAGTTTCAGCTGATTGCATCAGTCTTAATGCAATCACTGGAGGCCTTCAATGTAATTAGCCTGTTTCCTTAGAGTGCATCTCAACCAACCTGAATTAATGTTAGAAATCGGGCAGGGGTGCAACATTACAGAAAATTCATGATACGGTTCGGTTCGATACTTTAGTGACATGGTTTGATATTTTTTTTCATATAGCTACAAAAAGGGCAAATGTTCATGCACTTCTTAACTTGTAATTTATTTAAATTTATTCTAAGCATTTGTTTGGGGCGGCTGTGGCAGAATGGTTGGGGGAGTCGCCCTGGAACCAGAAGGTCACCGGAAGTCATTGTGTCCCTGGGCAAGACACTTCACCCACCTTGCCTACCGATGGTGGTCACAGTATGGCAGCCCCACCTCCGTCAGTCTGCCCCACAGCAGCTGTGGCTACAAWGTAGCTTACTATCATTAGTGTGTGAATGAATGATGCATGAATATTGTAAAGTGTCTTTCAGGGTCTCGAAAAGTGCTATATAAGGCTAATGCATTATTATTAGTATTTTCTGTCTGTGCTCTTGCAAGCCGATTAATAGATGAGTAGGCCTTGACAAAAAAAATGTTCAATTTAAAGCCCCAAACTTTACTCAATACCACCCACAGTTTTCGTGCAACACCCCACCCCCCAACACACACACGTCCCTCCACCCACAGGTTTTCCTGTCAGGACTTGTTCAGATCAGCTTCCAGATTTATTTTTTCTTCATCCCAGCAGGCGTTTGGGAACATGTTGTGCCATAGATTGAATCACGTTTTTGGTGTAAATTTTACAGTGACGTTGTACTCACTCAAACCACTTTTCTAAACTCCAATTATAACGTAAACAATTTGAAAAGTGAGGTGAGTTAAACAAAGGCACAAATGAGACTGTAGATGGTGGCTGCATGCATGTTGCTTTGTTTCTGGTATGAGACTGAGAATAACTGCATTGTATTTTAAATTGTTCCTGTTTTTGTATATATTTATGGAAAACGACTTGGATAGCATGATTGAGTCGTTAGATATTTCACTTGTTTTAAAGCAAACGCAAATTATACAATTTGAACGCTAAAATTGTAACTGTTTTACAGCCTTTTTATGTCCGTCAAACACAGCAGGATTTTGTCTTTGCTGTTCAGAGCAGAGGCCAGCAGAGAGCACTGTTTACCCCCATCCTTGTGCAATCCTCTGACCCTTCCACTCACATCCAGGCTGCACACCATTGCAGCTGTGTTTTCTTTATCAAAAGATCAGGCGAACTGTATAGGGCTTGCAAAACAAGATCAACAAACCGAGCTTCAGGAAAAGAATGTACATCTTATGAGAAGTTAATCACTTAGAGAGCATTGAGTTGAGATATGGTGTGAYGTTTTTTAGGTCTTACTCTTGGAATGATTAGAATTGATGGGATGCGGCATATTGCTGAAAAAAACTGTTTAAAAATGTAAGGTAAAAAATAAAGAAGTCTGTAAGACTAAATTAATAAATGCAAAACTAGCATTTTTTAAATAATACAAATCACCTGCTGACTTTCATGACAACGATTAAAACTAAAATCATTTGGTACAATGATGRAGTTTTTGCCGATTTGGTCAAACTTCGTAAATTATGGTTCTTGCGTTTTCTGTATTGAAGTTCTCAAATCCACCTCAATGTTGGTAAAACTGACTAAGTAATGGTGATTTATGTGTCGTCCGATGTTGATTATTTGTAAACATCCTAAACAGCATCAACTCTAAAAATTATTTAGTCTTAGACATACATCCAATAATTACTTGTTTTGGAGTTCCGATAAAAATATTTTCAGCAATTTTTGAGATATGTTACAAAAACACACTGGCAGGCAACATGTCTATTTAAAACACACCAGTTTCACTTAATTTCAATTGTGGTTTGAAAAGCAAACCGACAACTTTGAAGAATGTGGTTGTTCAGAAAGAAAGTGAAATTTGCAGTTGTTTTCGTTCAGTTTACTTATGATGTTCTTCACAAAAACACGCAACTTGTTTACGACAAAACATGTTTATGAGTTCTGTCTGTGTCAAAGGGTGTTCTGTGTAAAGTGAAATGATGACGAACTCTGTTTATCAGCTGCTTATCCCTCATAAAGTCTCTCATTTTAAGAATGTGTTTATTTTCTTACTGAGAAGTGAAACTGCTCACAGCTAGTTCTGCTGAAGGATTACTCATGAAGGGTAAAAAAAAAGAACAGGAAAGCCACAAGCATCCTGCTGCTTCAGCACTTCTGCTCCGTCTGTTCCAATAGGGTGTCTGCACTTTGAGAACTGCCCAGCAACAACAATCAGAAAAAAAAGGAAAATAATTAGCAGGTGCTAGCTAGCCTGTGTCTGCAAGTAACCCCGTCAAAAAAAAAAAAACATCCCTTGTGGAAGTTTTTTTAAACTTTTGTTTCAAAGCCATGGTCTATACTGCATTCTTTCTGTTTTTTAGAGCTGGCACAAAACACCAGTCTCTGCAGGGGCCTCAGTCAAAGACAAAAACAACTTTTTTTGGGAGGTTCATTAGTGAAAATTAGGAGGACACCCGAGAGGCACTTTCACACCTTGTTCCTCCTGCAATCATTAAAAAAAAGAGCTTGTTTGCACGCAAGTCCAGGCTTATTCATAAAATCCACAGGCCGTTTCATAAAAAAGGAGACGGAGATTTAGTCCTTCGAGGATAATTCGTGAGCGCTGAGCGCTCAGACGTTGGGTGCTTKTCATAACAAAATTAACTTCTATGGTCAAATCTTCTGCAACACATAAACTTTTGTTGCTGATGTCTCAGGATGGAGAAAATGTGATATTTTATGCTGGGATAAGGGCTTTAAATTGTAAACCAAAACAATTTCTGGATCTTAGTTTACTTATATTTCAGTTTAAATGAGGGGTTACTGCAGTACATCAAATGGATTTGTTTTGGGTCACATGCTGACTGGCAGAATGGGCCACATGTGGCCTCATCTTTGTCACTTCCCCATTAAGAAAAGGAACATTTTGCACAAAGCAGATCACAGAACAGGAAAGGTATTTTAAGTATATTAGTAAGCAGAACAAATAGAAACATGCCATGCAAAAAGAAAAATCCTTTTTTCAAACGAATTGACTTTTGTTCTTAAAGTAGAACAAGCAGGCCATGCAAAAGTAAAGATCAGAATCTCAAGAAAACCAAATTTCTTTGCTTAGTCATAAAAAGGTAATGTTTTCATATTTTTTTATTTAGAACTAAAACAATTTAGAAGTAATTTTGCAGTCAGATGTGCCCTAAAAACACAATGTTTGTTCCTCACAAGAGACACTATAGGTCTGACTTTGGTCCTGCAACTGTTTAACTTTTAAATCCAACTTTACATCACAACAAAGCTAATAACAATAAATGCAGACTGTTTGACACAGTCACTTTTTTTGCCAACACTTCAGGTCCAAAGGAGCTTTTTAAACAGTTCATGTCTGTTATCCTATCAGTGATGAACTATGATCCTCTACATCACACTTCTACTTATCTATTCAAACTATTTTTGCTGACTGACAGAGTGACAGACATTTTATTGATCTCCAGAGGAAAATAGTTTTGTCACAGGTGCAAAAAGCCAGACATTGCCAGACATGAACAAATCCATTGTAAAGTGACACGAAAAAAAGAAAAAAAGTACTGATACATATATATATATATATATATATATATGTATGTATGTAATTCCTCAAGTGAAAGACTTTGAATAAACTTGCAAAGTTCAGAATATCGTCAAAATATTGAAATAGTCCATCTGTGACACCATAAACTGGCCTTTCTGATTGTATGTGGGTGCATACCTCGGGTATTGGCAGCTTGCACATCTGAAATGAACAATCAAAGCAGAAAAGTGCATGCAGGTTTTGGAACAAGAAAACTATTCCTACATCAGACCAAACTGGAAAACATTTCTCTACAAAAACTCCAGGTAGATATTTAAAAATATATATATCAGAACTGAGGGAAGCATGTGAGTACAGAATGATGTTCAATGAAGACGAGGTGCTTCAGAGCTAAACATTTGCAAATCATTGCATTTTTTTCCCTTTTTTGCATTTTACACAGCTTCCCAACCTTTTTTGGCATAATGCAAGCTCTGCTCTACAACCATGTGACATTAATTGCAGTTGACATGCATGAGCCCCATCACGTAAACTGAAGTAATAATTTCATTTGTCAATGATTATGCTGATCTGARTGTCTGTTGTTTACAGCGTCTCACCCGGGATGCACTGATCAATAAAGTGGGCAGGGATGCCTCGCGGCCAATGTGCGCGCTCGCTGACCTGAAACTGAAGTTTAGCGCAACCCCCCTTAAACACGGGCTCGAGTATAAAAAGGAGCGCACGGAGTGGCACTTCAAGACGCATTCTTTTTTTAATTTTCACCCGAGGCGCAACAAACAAAACAAGACAGGTTCGTATTTTATCCCTCCGAAAAAAAAATCATCAAAATATATTGCATAGATGTCTAATGTTATTGTAAATTTGTAATTATTAAAAGTAAACGTTGTAAAACGAAATAAGTTTATTTTATTGGTGACTGTGGACTAAAGTCAGGAGGGGAGCTGTCCAGTGGATGTGGTGCTGACGTGTTTCGAGCGTCATTATACCTTAAGCAAACTTTCTTCCAGTTTTAAAAAAAATCGAAGCAAACTGAGAAGAAAAACATAATAATTATTTTATTTTTTTCTCCTCGATTCACAGCCAAGATGAGACTGTACCTCGCAGTTGCCGTGCTGATCCTGGCTTTTGTCGC